ATAATAAGTTTATTTGATAGGGACTGACACACAACATCATGGTACTCATAGCGTGAGCTTTGCAGCACTAAATGGACTTTTATAAACAGTATATCTAAAATGTGTCTAAAAAGTATTAAAAATAAATTACAGGTAATATTAATAATATAAACAGCCATACACATAAATAAAAGTCACTAAAGCATACAATAAAAACACTATAAACATGATTAAAAAGCCAAAACATAAAAGAACAAACATGATCAGGATTTAAGACTTTAAATATTTTGAACATGATTGCAGCACTGTTTTGACAAAGCCAGAGTTTAGTTTAATTTTTTTAAACATGTCAAACCTGGTCACAGACTTTAAATTAACAGGAAGTGAATTCCTACTGTAGCCCTGCAGTTTCTCTACATGACTACTTAATGGTTTGGGTGCAAATCCGTTTAAGCATTTGAAGATCATTTTTAAAAAAATGAATTTTAAAAAATTAGAAAAGTCTAAAATACCAAATTTGGCTAGAATATTACAATGATGAAATCTGATTGGCTTTACATACAAAACCTTTAAGGTTTGACTGCAAAGACTTTCCAACTTACCAGTTGTAGCCCTGCTCTAAAGAAAAGTTTAACAAAAATCAGTTCAGAGCAAATTCATTGGGTAAATTTATTAATTAACATTAATATGAATGGATAACACAATAAAGCATGCAGCTTATTTCCATTGTGGTCCAGCGTCACACACAATCACTTACATAAATAACAACAAATTTAATAAAAACATTCAACACAATAATTTATTTATATAAAAGACTAATAATAAATAAGGTCATTCGATTCTTGCCTGAATAACTAATTGCTGAAATGCCAGTATCAGGGACATCTCTTTTAGAGAGCCTCTTATATGGTAAACCGGCTTGCCGTACCTGGAGTCTTCGGGTTGTAGAGGAGCGACGTCAGTGTTTGCTGCTGCTGCTCTGGGGAAGATGGCGGAGGCTGCGGCTGTTCCCCCGCATCGGTTTTTCTGTCACTGTTGTAAGGGGGAAGTAAACCCCAAACTCCCGGTAAGTCCGATGATTTCGGTTCGTTAAATGTGACGCGTTGTACGGTTCGTGCCGCTGCCAGGGTCGGTATGTCGACAAAACGCCGCTCAGTTTCACCTCCTCCTTGCTACAACTAACCCCCCGGCTAGCCTGTTAGCAGTTAGCAGCGTTTGTTGTTGTTAACTCTAAAACAGAGTGGCAAATGTTTTGTGGGGTTTTTATTTTAAATAAAAATGTTGACTTAAAAAAAAAAGGATGACCAAGTTTATTAAGCGTGTGTTTTAAGACAGTCGTGTTAAAACTGTTGAGCTAAAAGCCTTCAGTTTAACACTACGATAGTTTTTTCCTCTTTTCTTTCACTAAACAACAGGAACAACTGCCTTAGCATGGCTACTAAAAACCACTGATTTAACATGAGCTGGCTGGCACTGGGTCATTTTTATTTTCACTTTTTGTTCCTGTTAAAACACACAGCTGATAGGAGGAGTTTGGGGACTTTTCTTGGACATTGAGTTCAGTTTCAGTTTTAACTAAATATTATTGTGACCCAGTACAGGTCGTTTGTATAATTTACTATAAACATGTTTTCTAAATACACACTATGAAGATTTTAAAGTGCCTGTGACATTTATATCCTTCAAATACAAAAAGTCAAAGAAAACATGTTTTATATTTAAGAAAATTAGCATAGTACACATGATTTTAGTCATTTTGTCACATAAAAGGCCTGTTTTCCTTTGAATTAGCCTCAGCCAAAGTGAAACAGGAAGTGACATCAAAGGGGAAATCTTTAATAAAATAAACTCTCTGGTCTTTGTTTATTAAACATTTTTTAAACTTTAAGTCTTCGTCTCTACATTGTTGTTTGTAACAACGCTCTGTTTACATGCCGACATTCCCTTTTGACATCACTTCCTGTTTCTTCACATGGTAATATCTCAGCAATGTGAAAACTATTTTCCAATATGTTATCAATGTTTTCTTTCCAAAAATGCGTTCATGTTTATTATAAAAATGTCCATCTTAACAAGTTTTAAAATCTTATATCAGCCAAAAAGTCTTTTTGATCTTGTTTTGAGACTGATTTACTGAACAAGAACTGATTGTGTAAGAATTAGGGCTGTGTATTGGGAAGAATTTGGCGATACGATACATATCATAACAGAGGGGTCACGATATATCCCGATATATTCAATACTGTAAGCAAGGCAATATATCGCGATTTTTTTGTCCAAAAATTCTATTAAATAAAAACCTCTTACTGAAAAAAAAAGAAAAGCTAATGTTTACTTACAATGCTAATGCTA